TTTCAAATGACTTGCTCCAGTTCCTCATACTGATTTTCTCTGCAGAAGTTTCAGAAACTCCAGCTATGAGGAGCTGGATATGGCACTGTGGCTCAGCTAAAAGGATTTTGAAAAATCCTTCTCTGAAGTATTTGCAGGACAAAGTAGGCAAATGGAAGTAAGTGGGAGAGAAGAGGAATTTGGCGTAAGGATTAAACAGAAGAAAAGGCAAATCCCAGGAAAGAGGGTGTTTACTATATTGACATTTAAAAAGCAAAGAGTGAGTCTGAACAAGCGAGGAGGTAGAGCTCTGTGTGTTTATCTGCCTTGAATGCAGAGTGGGTAAGAGCAAGGAACTTGAAGTAGGGCAGTGAGAACAGCCAGCACTTGATGCTGAATGTACACCAGGTGCCATGCAGTACTCACTTGCCTACCAGGGAGGTGGGGTGCATTATCAGGGCCAGTTTCACACAGGGTGAGGAGTCGCATTTGTAGCACATCCTGCTCCACAGAGCTGATGAAGCAGCTCTTCTTTTTCCCTCTGATTGTGCAGCCTCTGCTCCCACTCCTGCTCTCTCTGCCTCCATGGCCTTCTCCCCTTTGTCATAGCTGATTTGAGCAAACCATGGCTCTATTGGAACAGATCATAGTTTTGCCTACTTAGTCATGGATAGATAATCTCCACCTAACTGACCACTCTAACTCTGGACTGAATATGGAAGGTTCTCCCCTGAGCAAACAGCATATTTCTCATGAAAGAATAATGGAAGTCATGCTTTCAGGTCCTAAAATGAAAGCCTTTCACTACTAAAAGAGTATCTACTACTCCTTTACTTCCTTATTATGAGCTGATCATTTAGAGAAATATTTTGCTAGAAATTTACTCCTGGGCTAAATCAGGGACTGAAAAGACTAATCTAAAGCAATCACAACAACAACAACAACAAACCTCATGATTTCTACTAGGTCTGTCTGCTTTCAGGATGGAAAGCTTGAATAGGAAAACCCACTTCCATTCTTGCTGCTGAGGGCTTCTGAAAAACAGCATGTTTATGCTGCCGCAGTATGTTGTCCAGCACCGCTAACTTGATTAAATTCATGATTGAAGTGATTCTATTGAAAGAGTGAAATGCAATTCTCGAAGTTTAAAACCCAAACTGCTTCTAAAAACAACTCTCTAATCTTTGGTGGTTTGGAGACTAGGTTTGTTTTGTAGGTGTAAGGTTTTTTTTTTCAGTGTTAACTGTACCCAACTGTAATGCTGTGCTGCCTTAATGTCAGTTGGATGTGCTTTTGGTATTATAGTTTTTCTTTTGAATAAATATTTGCATTCGTAGTTCCCAAACTTAAAAAAAAAAAAAGGCTTATTCAAAGCCAAGGAAAAAGTCACTAAAAATATTTTCCTACCCCAGCAGCCTCATTTGTGGACTGGGCTGGTGCCCTTTCACGCAGCACTGGGGGCCGAAACATGCTGGTCGGTGGGGAGCATGTGCATTGGTGTGTGGCATCCGACTGCTTATGGAAGTCCATGTAGTTGGAAATGAGGCGTACGAGAGGAAAGACGGCCCCCGCTGTTAAGACATGGGCCAGAGACATTGGCAATCTGGGTCCACGCTGCATTAAAGCCTTCCCACGGACGAAGTCGCGGGAAGCCGCATGTGACCAAAGACTGAGGACATGAGCTCCCATGCTGCTCCTCCGAATCTGCCACCTTCTCCTTCTCCCTCATTTCCCATCACTTTCCATTTGCCACATGATAAATGGGAAGCGACTCCCTTTGGGATGAGTGCTGTTATTTTTCAATCCAGGGGGGAAACGTGCTTCCCTGCCACGCAAGCAAGACGGGCCTGCGTGAACACGGCAGGGGTCACGGCCGGCGGCAGCGGCTGTGGAGGCGGGTGGTTTCTGCGGCAGG